GCTGCTGCTGCTGCTGCTGTTTTTGTTGCTGCTGCTCGCTTTTCCGCTGCTGCAGCTGCTAGTGGTTGCTGCTGCTGCTGCTGCAGAGTTATCTTTGCATGCATTTGGGGTGTACGTGCAGGTCTCTGAGTGCCTGGCTATACTCCGACTGCAGCACCAACTTGCAGCAGACATGTTTGCTGCTGCTGCTGCTGCTAGCCTTCCACAGCACCACTGCAGTGCTGCTGCTGCTGCTGCTGCTGCTGCCCAAGGCCCTGCTGCAGCAGCAGCAGCAGCAGCAACAGCGCCAGACGCCACCCTTTGGACTCTCCGTGCCTTTTACGTTGGCCTGCTGCTGCTGCAGCAGCAGCAACAGCAGCAGCAGCAGCAGCAACAGCAGCAGCAGCAATGCCAGCAACTGCAGCAGCAGCGGCAGCGCAAGAAGCAGCAGCAGCAGCAACGGCAGCAGCAGCAGCAATACGACTTCCAGCATGAAGCAGCACTGTCATTCTTCCGCAGCTGTTAGCAAAACTACTTGTTGCTGTTGATTCTGCTGCTGCTGCTGTTGTTGGTGGTGCCGATGCTGCTGCTGTCGTTGCTGCTGCTGCTGCTGTTGCTGTTGCTGCTGCCGCTGTCGTTGCAGCAGCTGCTGCTGGTGACTGTCTGTGGTGTATATGTGCCTTCGTTTTGTTGCTGCTGCAGCGCTGGGAGCAGCAGCAGAAGCAGCAGCAGCGGCAGCAGCAGAAGCAAAGCCAGCAGCAGCAGCAGCAGCAAATTCACTTGGCTTTAGTTTCAACGGGCTGCTGCTGCGGCATCTGGCTATAGGGATAGACAGCCAAGTGCTGCTGCTGCAGCGCATGCAGCAGCAGCAGCAGCAGCGAGAGCAACAAGAACTGCAGCAGCAACAGCTGCTGCAGTTGCTGCATTCATCTTTGCAGTCACTGCGCTTGTAACTACAGCAGCAGCAACAGCAGCAGCAGCAGAAGCAGCAGCAGCAGCAGCAAACAAAGAAATAAATAACAGCGATTGAATTGGTCTAAGAGCAAACAAATAAATTTTGCTGCTCTTCTTCCTTCTTCTTTTTCATGCAGGTTGTTCTTTATATATATACATTTGTATATACATTTATTTATTTATTTATTTATTTATTTATTTATTTTATATAAATATATACATATATAATTAATAATATCTATATATATAAAACTTTATCTACCATACAAACATATATATATAATGTATATATATAATATGCAGTAGATGTAAGTATATAGTAATTATATAATATATATATATATATTATATTTATATATTATATTTATAATTAATTTGTTTATATATATAATGTAGAAGACATTATAGACATAGATATATTTGCGGTGTATATTTATAATTAATTTATTTGTAATAAAAACTGTATATAGTAAAACTGCTAGTTTTTTAAAGAGCTTAATCTGCTGCTGGAGCGAAACCTGCTGGTGTAGCTGCAGCTTTTGCTGCTGCAGCAAGACTGTTGTTGCTGCAGTTGTTGCTGCTGCTGCTGCTGCTGTTGCTGCGCCGACGATAATTTTGTTTTGTCTGGTGAATAAACTACAGAAATAAATTATTTTTATTTTTTTAAAAGTATATTTAGCAAAAATAATTAAAAATAAATACAAAATTTGATGTATTAACAAAAGAGACAGAGAAAGAGAGAAAACGGCGGCGGCAGCAGCAGCAGCAGCAGCCCCGTTGCTGCTGCTGCTGCTGCTGCTGTTTCTCGCGTCTAATGGTATTATATGGATAATAAAAAGGCGAAATTAAATATTAAAAACATTTTAATTTATTATTTTTTATTTATTATTTCTTTTTTCAGGCATTTGCTGCTGTTTATCGCTCAGCAGCAGAACTTCGAGTGTACAGTCACCTCCGTGGGGTGGGTGTAGTATAAAAGGAAGGCTGAGAGTTAAAATAAATTTAAAAGGATTTATTTTATTAATTATTTATTTTATTTAAACTGATTTTTACTTTTACTTCTGCTTAAACAAAGCCAACAACACCGACGACTGCTGCTGCTGCTGGTCTTGCTGCGGCTGTTGCTGCGGCTGTTGCTGCGGCTGTTGCTGCTGCTGCAGCGCGAGCAGCAACAGCAGCAGCAGAAGAAACACCGCAGGAAGAAGCAGCTGCAGCGGCAGTAACGGCATCAGCAAGGGCGTAGGCAGCAACAGCAGTTGCAGCAGCTGCAGCCGACGCTGCTGCTGCTGCTGCTGCAGCTGCAACCTACGCTGCTGCTGCTGCTGCCTACGCTGCTGCTGCTGCTGCTGCTGCTGCCACCAACCTCTAATGTAAGTGAGGGAATACCGCAGCAGCAACAACAGCGCCAGCAGCTGCAGCAACAGCAGCAACCTAATCCGCTATAGAGGCAGCAACAAAATCTCCAGCAGCCGCAGCAGCAACAGCAGCAACAGCAGCAGCAGCCCCAA